ACGACTCATTAGTGAACAGTTGGCGACTAGGGAAAACATGGTAATCGCATCTCTGCAAGTGGAAGACCACGCTGAATGTTATCTGACGACCGCAATACGAACTTTGTCGGTATCTGCAACGGAAAAACAAAATGCTTTTGAGAGCGACCCCATCATCAAGATGATTATGAGCTCTGTCATCAATGGTTGGCCGTCTAAAACGTTTGATGGTGATATAAAACACCTGTATCAGCGGCATGATTCTCTATGCATTGCAAACGACTGCTTAATGTTCGGAGTGATTGTTTAACGAACTATAACAAAATGCTGAGAAGTTCTTTGCAAAGCTGGATTTCATTGATGCCTATCTTCAAGTGGAAGTGGCTGAAGATTCAAGAGAGTCACTTACCATAATAATTCATCGTGGCTTGTTTCAGTACAATCGCCAACCATTTGTTGTTAAAACGGCTCCATCTATTTTCCAGCAACTAATGGATACCTTTCTATCGGGTACACTGGGAGGCGCAACTTATTCTGATGATATCTTAATTGTTTCCACATCGTTGGACAGCTTCAAGAACGCACGACAGCCGTACTACAACGCATCAGCAACAACGGATTCCGATTACGTCCAGAAAAATGCCAGCTTTTCTTGAAGTCAGTTAAATACTTGGGATTCATTTTCGATACCGCAGGTGGCAGACCAGATCCTGAAAACATCCGAGCTATAAAACAGACGCCGATTCCCATTAATATCTCTAAGCTACGATCATCCCCTGATTTAATTAGCTACTACACAGCTTTTGTTCCGTAGTTGCATGACATACGCACCTCTCTAAATAATCTTCTGAATAAGAACACCAGCTGGAACTGGACAAAAGAATATGAAGCAGCATTTCGCAAGCTGAAAAACTGTCATAAGCTCTGAACTATTACTGACACACTACGATACGTCCTTGCCTATCATTCTCGCTGCAGACGCTTCAGCTTTTGACTCGATGCTGTCATCTGACATCAGTTCTCGGACGCAACGGAGAAAGTTATTATGCACGCACCTCGCACATCAGCTTCAGCGGAAATAAAGTACAGTATAGAAAAAAAGGCTCTCGCTTGATGTTTGGAGATAGAGTAGTGGTACCAGAGTTTCTAAGATCAAGAGTGCTGAAGCAATTCCACACTGGTCATCCCGGCATAAAACGAATGAAATCCGTCGCCAGAAGCTATGCTTATTACCCCTAATGGACCGACATATCGTGAAGCCAGTAGACAGGTGCACGTGGTATCAGCAGGCGGCTACGTGTAACGCTAAATTACTATCGGTCCCATGGCCACAGCCTGAGTATCCTTGGTCCAGGATACACGTCGATTTTGCAGGCCTAATTATTGCAATCATCTATCAAGTCGTTGTTGACGAATTGGTCAGAAATCGTTATCGTCATGCCGCTAACGACTAACCAAACGATTCAACGTTTGGCAGAGATGTTCTCCCGCAACGGATAACCGGATATAATCGTATCCGGCAACGGTTAGCAATTCACATCGAGTCTTGATGTTGGTGTCGAGGATTCGGACTTTGATATTGGTTGACAGTTGTCTTGAGTCCCATATACTGTCCTTGCTTTGCCAATCCTACACTGGGTGTGTTCACTTGCATTTTTTCATGTGTATGGGAAAGAAGGGCCAAATTATCTGTGAAGTGCGAAGCGTTTAGTTGAATCCAAGCTGTCCGTTGTATTCTTTGCTTCTCGTCATGTATGGAGAACCTGAGAATCCGGTCAACATGGTTCAGTCCTACCTTCTTAGCGCTTTCCGGTCCGGACTCCTACGGACGTAATCTTCATATCCTGGAGACAAACCTGTTGAGGACGTTATGTCCCCATAAATCACTTACAAAAGGACCTAAGTTTTTATTTTGTTTAGAAAATTTGAGTTTCTTTGTTTTCGCGTCGAAAGCGCTTTTGTCACCTTCATGTCGTGTTTCCCACTGGGAAATATCTTAAATGCTGTAGGTCTGTTGCGTCTTTCAGTATGCTACATTCCCAAAGAACGGTTTTGTACAGTGTATATATGTTTCCAATTGTGTTTGTTGTTATCATCCGTTCCTGGCTGTTTGCAGAATATACTTCATCATTCCAAACTCGCACTTCACCTTCCAGTTAGTGGGGCTGGGACGCATCAATAGTTATCTTAATGATCTTTGGTCACCGAGTCTTGTTTATCGTTCGCAGATTAAGTGAACTCGTGAAAGCTTCAACCCTAGCAAACTCACTCTGGTGTGGCACGCTAACTCGTGTAACAAATACAGCACGTTTCAACTGGTTCTGTTCTACGTAAAAGACCTTCAGTTGCAACCCGGGGATCGACGATCGATTCCTGTTTGTCAGCACTTTCAACTGGTATGATGAAAACAATTATTAATAAAACCAATCGCACTAATGTTTGTTTGACTGTACCAAAATACACACATTCTTTCTTACGTTGGTTGTGACCGTGCACGAATTCGGTTCCGTTCAATAACCACAATTGTTATACCTGATGTGGAAGATTCAAATACATGACGTTTGTTTCTGCTCTCCTTGCAGTTCGTGAATTAGGTAGTGTTATTTCAGTGATTCCTAGTTCGCATTGTTGTATATGAGTAAGCACGAAATTGCAGTTGATTTCAATCATGCATTTGTTTAAACTAGTCGTCACGTTAGAAACCGATTAACGGAGACAGACACGTCTTGTGCAAACGTGACAAACATTGCTTCAAATGACTCATGATCTCAACCAATAAAACAGAATTCAGTCGAAATGAAACAAGGCAAATGAAAGTGAGTGAATAGTGTCAAGTTGTATGTTGGAGAAACATCAACAAGAAATTGATCAGAACAACATGGAAACATCTTATTTTGCTGCTGCTACTTACAACCCACTGTAAAGTTCACATACTTATAAAAATAATACTGGATATGTATCAGCATGGCGAAATAATTGCATTGAGAAAGTATCAATAGTATTGTCTGACGAACAGAAGATCAATAGAAACCCTAACACACTTGTGATGATGAAGATGACATACGCTATTATTTCGTGCACACGCTTCGGCATGTGCTCAGATATGTTCAAATGATTAGCTCTGACGAACTGAATGCCTTCACCAAGTTGGGATGTCAGATGAATGTCACTCCACTTCCAACATTTGAAGGAATCTTTCCACAAAGTCGAGATCATAGTTTGCTAAACGAGATAAAATGTGGTACATTAGCTTTCAGTTGTTCATCAAGGTTAGAGTTTCTTCATTTTTAACAATCGCCTACAGCCAGTTATTTTGATGTCATCGTTCTGTGGCCTATATGGTTATTTAATATTAGTTATCAATTATAACGATCTATGATCAATAGTCTGCGCTTAGTGCTAGGTGTTCAACCCACTGCAAATTTCGTCACACGGTTCCTTGAAGCAATCAATTATGCACAATTCGGCAGTAATTCATTATGTAAATCATTGAATAGACTCTAATATATCAAATAATATCAAACTGTCCGAAGGAATAATCGACGGCTCAGAATTGATTAGATGATTTGGACTTTGCGGATGACCTAGCCCTCCTATCCAATACACATAAACAAATGCAGATAAAGACAACCAATTTAGCAGCAGTCTCTTCACCAGTGGGCCTCAACATACACAAGGGGAAAAAGAAGGTCCTCAAGTACAAAACGGAGAACACCAACACATTCACTTTTGACGGCAAAACTCTGGAAGATGTAGAATCCTCCACATACCTGAGAAGCATCATCAGTGAAGAAGGAGGTACAGATGCAGACGTAAAGACGAGGATCGGTAACGCGAGGGCCGCATTCCTACTATTGGAAAAAACATGTGGAACTCAAAACAACTTCCGATAAATATCAAAGTCACAATCTTCAATACGAACATCAAGGCAGTTCTACTGTATGGAGCTGAAACTTTGAGAACTACAACAACCACCATCAAGACGTTAGAAGTATTTGTCAACAGTTGTCTACGTAACACACTCAACTATCACTGGCCGGATACCATCAGCAACAGCCCATTGTGAGAGGGAGCGAACCATCTTACAGCTGAAAAAGAAATTCGGTAAAGACGTTGAAAATGGATAGGACATACATTACACAAAACATCACAAGGCAATCCCTCACTTGAAATCCTGAAAGGAAGTGGAAAAAAGTAAGGCCAAAGAACACATTACGTCGAGAAATACAAGCAGATATGAAAAGGATGGATAACAACTGCAAGGAGTTGGAGAGGATTGACAAGTACAGCGTTAGATGTAGAACACCGTTGAGCTGCCTATGCTCGTTCAAAAGTGGTAACAGGCGTAAGCAAGTAACTTTTCAATCTGAGAATAAATATGTAAGTAAATAAATACGTAAGTCATAAAAAATTGCAGGAACAATTCAATTTCAATCGTGCAGCTGTAACACACAAAACAACCAGTTAGTTGTTCTACAAACACATAAAGATTACGTACAATGAACATTTAATTCAAGTATCATTCCACTTCACTGCTCTCATGATTCACACCACACATAATCAACACTCAACACAATTCACATCATCAAACAACACAATCAATACATATGAGAACACTAACATAAATCCACCATCCACTCAACTCATCAACTCTTCACACTAATTCACAATCAGTCAGGTCAACACCATTATCCTTATATCATTCACACCACACCAATTCAATCTTCTTTAGTCAACGCAACTGAACTCAACTGAAATCAACTCAGCTCACACACAATCACATAGCAACACACCACTCCACTCCAGCTCTACGCATCACTTCTCACAAACTACACGTTCAAATTCAAGTGTTCCATGCACACTCATGCATTGTATAAATAGGCAAGCACACTCAGTCTCAAAATCAACCAACTCTACTCAAAACAACGTTCATCTGGTCCAAACTAAACGCGGTAGGTGTAATTGTGTACATGTGAATGACTGACCAACTAACCGTCTCACAACATCTTTCATTAATACAGATGCACCTCACCTTCATTGTGGCATTCACTGTGTTGATTCTCGTCAACTTCTCAAATGTCAATGGTCTCTCCACGCTGGATAATGCCGTCAAGGACATTTTGTTGACAGATCTTGCTAAAGGTGATATTGTGTTTTGCATTTGACATTTGTGTTATCCAGTATCTGTTTTCGTGAATCCACAACACGATGTGTTTAATTGTATTAGTTGTAGTAGGAGTGTCCATCGTCATCTGTTTGGCATTGAACGTATATTGTGTCAATAACATTGTTCACTGATCGTGCCAATAATCACATACACCACATTACCGTCCTCGTACAACACAATATCACGGTTGATGAAATCAATGCGAACGTAACCTCGTCTGTATTCATATATGAGTGAAATTGGGGTGGACAAATATTTTCTATTCTCTTATTCAAATAGTCATCATCATCATCACTGCATCGTCCTTGTAATATGTGGTTTCACATCTGAATGTGAGAGATCACAACCAAATGAATGATGTCTAATCACTCAAGACTGCATGGTTGTATATTGTGTTGTGTATAAATTGTAGTTGTCGACCAATCGTATGCCAGACAAGGCGATTGACTGATTGATAATTATTACCAAGGGATTGAGTTTGTATGCGAATCGTAATGGGAATCCCGAGTGTCATTTCCCGTGTATGTGTAACAATCGACCGTTGTTTGGTGACGATTATGTCGAGAATTCAATCAAAGTAACTGACAAATGTTCTGTCGATTTATAATTTGAGAAGTCATTAACTGATCAGATTGGTGTTGTGTTGGTTGTGAGTTCGAAACGCATGGCAAACAGAATATTGAGTATATTTCATTTTTCTATTTATTGAATTGTTCTTGACATGGTAATATTTTCTCACCACTATTGTTGTATTGTTTTTCAGAGATAAACGAAGAGTTGAAAAAGCTGTCACAAAATGATCAAAGTATTCCTAGTGAACTCAGAAAGAAACGTGGTTTGAATGATATAATTTTAGGCCTTGCTGCTTTAGGTAGAAAATAAATTTATTCCAAATAAGAACAAAATTATTTTCTTGTTGTTTCTCTTATCATCATTGAGAATGTATTTTGATGAGTAAATCTGTGTAGTGCAACCACTTGATTCGGGTAACATTCTTCGATAATTTTGTTCGCCTGCAAAGTGTTAGACTTAGTTAGGTGGTGAGGATGATGTCTCATTATACAGACTGCACGGTATTAAGTCACATTGTGTTCCACTGGACTGACATTAAATCGACTGTAGTTTCCTGCTGTTTGCGCATCGGTTTATTCTGACGGTTTTACGACTGTTAAAAAAGATGTAGTGATTGGTCCAGTTTTTAAAGAAATATGTCGTGGATGTGTGCTGGACCATACGTTCCGAAACAGATAATTATTTGTTTTTATCCAGACCGCTTGTGTTTCCATTGTTTGATCAGTCGAAATCCATGGAAAGATTCAGTTTTCATTGGATGGATTAGCTTTATGATTGTTATGATTTCGAAATTGGCCAGTCAACAATGTAACCGAAATCGTTTCTTTCGAGTTGAAATGATGTATTCACGTTTTTCGGTCATCCGCCATTGACGTACAAACAGTTGAACAACTGGTAATTCACTTACTCAAATATAAGTACAACCACATTCCAATATAGGTATCAATGTGTATTCAAAAATTACAGGTAATCGACCCGAAAAGATCGATCCTCAATTTTTAAGTTTCCAGAGTAAGATCTTCCAAACTAACAAACAAAAGACAGAGTGAAACGACAAGATACAAATAGGTTCAAAGGTTCTGTGAAACAAATGCGTCCATAAACACAATGATATTGATAGTATTCAAAAAGTAGTTAATAGTCGATCAACAGATTTCTTCACCTACCTGATGTCATTGCTGAATAAATTGAAGTCACTGTACTTTTGTGATAACTGTCCAAGTACCAAACTTTAAAGTAAATCATATGAACAGTTTTGACATATTGTATGCTCAGAGAAGAAAATGGTAAAATTGAGACACTGATCGTAAAGTAAATAGTGTAGAAATAGAGTATCGATTTTTAATATTATTACCACTTATTAGTAAAAGGTTCCCTTACGATATAAACTGTATGTTGTTGAGTAAATCTGTGTATTACAACCACTGGATTCGAATAAGAAATTTCTATCCCAAATATTAGTACTACCACATTCCGATTTAGGTATCAATGTGTATTCGAAAATTACAGGTAATCGACCCGAAATACATCGATCCTTCTCAAACTTTTTCTACGGTTCAAGTGTAAATGTTAATTTCATTGGTCAATTTATCACACAACCTCATGAAATTCCGATTTCATTGTTCGTTCGAAGCTAGCATACTGAACGTGAATATGTTTTAATTGGTTGAGAGATTAATATGACCATGAAATGATTCAGTTGGAGAGGCCAGCTCAGAAAACAGGCTGCGAAACTTTTATGGTCCTACACTAGATTTCAAACCACTAATTGCAATTTTCATGGACTTCCTCACATGAGTCGGTACGCAACTACCAATGACTTAGCTCCATTGCAATGACAATTTGATAACCAGAAGTTGAATTGGTGTGCTAAAGAAACATTCACAGAATAGTCCCATTTAATCGAGATATTACGCGATCAGAAAGACCTAACGTGTTATATTCGAGACTCGAATTGACGGCAGCATAAATTATAAATAAGTCATTAATCAGTACAGGTACCACATTGAAATAAGCACTTCTCTTGCAATCACCGAAGTTTTGATGCGTACACTAAATCCATCGATCATTTTTTAACGATCTAAATAAATAGCACAATAACACAAAATCCATTGAAACACTAGAGAATGACTTTAAATGGAGGGTGAGTTATAAGGGACTAACACACGAGACAAAAGTATAGTTACCTCAACATCACGCTCAAACTTAGAACTTGACGCTAGTCGCTTTGCGGCTCACTGCAATAGAGGTAGCTCTACACATACCCGTCTCAATTTCCGAGACCGTTTCAATATACCAGAACCCTACGTCATCCGAGCCAAGTCATACCCTCGTGGTACGATAACTCGAGCAACAAATACAGCACGTTTCTTCTGGTTCTGTTCTACGTAAAATACCTTCAGTTGCAACTCGAGGATCAACGATCGATTCCTGTTCGCCAACCCTTTCGTCGTACAATCACATGTTCTCCAACCACTCGCCGGAACGAGAACGCTGCGTATCGAATGTGTAAACACATTCTAGCGGGAGGATCTTGAAGTGCTCTACCATTATAAAGAGAAAGCGTCATGGAAACTATAGTTATTATAGCCAATTTTATCAGTGATTGATTTACTGTACCTGTTTGTAACAAAATATAAATTCCTCCGTTATCTGTGACCCTACACGAACTCGCATACGCTCAGTAGTCCCAGTTGTAAACTCTGGCACGATCTCGGTATTATTTCGATATCATAAGATTGCCAACAAATACATCATATTACAACCTTCAATCGCCTTCTGATATTTGATATTTGGAGGGATGTAACGTAAAACTGCTACGTGGTCTTCCTGTAGTGGTGAACGTAGTCAACTGCGACTCGACGCCTACTACGAGATTTTTTCCTGTTTTCTGATGGATGTAGGAAATTTAATCATAGTATTAATATCTTCAACATCTTGCTTGATCATACTTCAGATTTCGAACCTTCCAATATAGTCCTAAAAAGCATGAAAATGTGGAAATATGTCCAGCTGTATCATCACAGGCTCCATCCTGACGCCTAGTGTGACGATTAGAAGTATTTGAATTTTCTACAGCATTAATTATGACAACAGTTCAAAAGAGTGTTAGAAACAATTGAATACATATTGAATAAACATTAATAGGAATATAGTGAGTAGAGGTCAGTTGAAAGATTATTAATTTGAAAGATAGTTGAGAAGATAAAATCAATAATGTAATAAATACAAAAGAAAAAAATCTTTTAAGGTGCAGGGAAAGAATATTTGTCACCAAGACAAGCAAAGATTAACAACCGTCTCCTTTTGAATATATAGGTCATGATTTTGACGCCTGACGGCAATGGCTTCACAAGACTGGAGTTTGGCTGCTTACTAATCACCCTAAAGGATTGTAAGGTATCTACCTGATGTCCTGTATCAAGGAGATGTTTGGTGGTTGCACTATTCAGAGTCTTTCTTTCCCTTGTTCTAAGACGTTTTGGAACATGTCCAAAAGATCTAAGATATCCCCTCCCTTCTGTTTGGCCAATGTAGCTGCTTTGGTAGGCACACATAAATTCATAAATACAGTTGGCGGTAACACGAAAGAGGTGCTTGTCGACCTTTGATTGGGTTATTGAGCAAGTTGTTTTATAGAGAATTAAGGGTTTAGCAGCTGGAAAAGTTCTGGCTAGCGCAGTGTTTAGTCTCCTGTTGATTATTTGTGTGACGTTATCACCTTTAAAGTTAAGATTTATATATACTGGCTTTTTAATGACCGTAGTTATTCCAGTTTTGTTTTCTTTGGACTTTTTATATTTGTCAACAAACTTTTGCGGATAAAAGTTGTATTTTAAACATTTTTCTACTTTCATTAATTCTTCTTCCAGTTTGTCGGTGGTACATATCTTTTCTATCCTGTAAAATAGTGTTTTAATCAATGCCTTCTTGTAACTAATTGGACAAAAACTATTAAAATTTAGGTGGAAGCCATTCCAATTACTTTTTCTATAAACTGAACGTTGGACTGTTCCATCTCCCCCGCGTTTTATGGCAACATCAACAAAGTGGAACATGTCGTTCTGTTTGTGCTCCATAGTGAAATGCATGTTAGTATGAGCGTTACTGACATTTTTAGAAGGCCGATTGGATGCTGTTATTTTCACAGATAATAAATGTGTCATCCACATATCCACATATATGTACAATATTCAGTCTATTAATTTCATTTACACCCAAGATATACCTAACGAATATATCTTCAATATAACTTCCAAACAAGCCCTCTCATGTAAGCAATTTAAACCCATTTCGTAATTATGATTTTTAAATATCACGTGCTGTAAGCAGCTGACGAGAACCTACGAAATAAAATGAATTCATTCTATTCTGTTAGAATATTTCTTCTTGCTCTTCTCAAAATGATAAGACGAACCATGTGTATGAAATATTTTGTTATTATTTGTCCTTCGTTACGTAAATCTGTCCTTAAAGATTTACATAGTGTACATTCATGTGATGGAAATAAAATCCTTGGCAAGGCTCAAATGTCGATGTTTGAAAATAAATGGAAATAGTGTCACACAGCAAATAATCTTGAAAAATATTGTAAATCGACAAATGATTTTTTGAAGTGGACTCCATGTCCAGTATCATCTAAGTTCAGGTAGAGAATGCATGAAGAATATTGTGGTGCAATTCTCGGCAGGTACTGTGCTCTTAACCTAACTGTTTTCTTTTATCAATGGCTTGAATAATTCTTCGCATCTTCACCGAGTTTTAACCGCACAATCCGAGCATTAGCAATAGTTCTCAGTCAAGAAAAGGTTTTTATGGTATCAGTGAGTAAGAGTGGCTTTCATTTTGCTGCCGACACATTTATCTTATCCTTTGAGCGGGAAGTGTAGCCAGTACGTTAAAAGCCGCCATGAACTCCATTTATGCTTCAGCATATGGCCGACTTCAGAGAGCGACGGATACGAACAGTGTACCAGTAGGCATAAGCGTAGTAGACGCTGAAAACAAATTAACTGTCTCACTTATGTGTTCTGTGAAACACGACCTACGGAACATTTTACCGCTTTAAATTCCAGTGGCTACCATATCGGGCGTACGCCTTTTCAAATAGACTAACCGATTTATCTTCTTAGGGCCAAATGTTTCATGTTATATCTGTTGGGAAAGTTCATTGTGATAAACAGTTAATGGTTCAACCAAAGCTACATAACTTATAGCACTTTTGTATTATTTGGGCAACAACACTATTCCTGGATTGACAGGAACGCCTTTACTCTATGCGAAGTACATATTGAATATTCCTTATTTCT